CTGTGTAAGTTGTTAAGTTGAATGTAGAAATAAGTGTAGTACTTTAAATTTATCTTGAAGAACAACAATCCAAGTTAGAGTATGTCTGAAGGCAAACTTTAACTTCATCAGACTATACATAACTTGTTATTCCTTCACGTGATACCTAGCTACATTCATAGCTATATAGATCCTTTTCTCTTTCCACTAGATGTAACGCCCCTCATGGAGGTACATAAAAATTTAGGCATTAGCTCGAACTGTGCGGTTTCCTACTCGTTCTGTTATCGGTCGATTCCTCAAAGTTGGACAATCTCTTTTGAAATGCCCGGGTTGACCACACTTATAACATTCACGGTGAAGTATGCAATATCCGGAGTGATGATTGCCACATCTGGGGCATACTGCTGACTTGTTTGGCTGGTTTGCTCGATCACAACGAAAGGAAAATTTTGTTGTCACTGACCTCCCAGGCTGATTCGATGATGGTTTGTCGGTTGTGGGACCTCCTTCAGCCTGTGGGTGTTTAGTCGAGCTCTACTTCTTATTGCGGATTTCCTGATACTCTAGCTAGTCTTTCTTAATTTTAAACGTAGTCTCCACCAGTTCTGCGTAGTTCCTAATCTTGGGAGCCACTAGTTTCCCTATGATATTTTCGCTGAGTCCCCTTTGAAACTTCTTAGCCTTATTAGATTTTTCAGCTATCAAATGTGGAGAAAACCTTGATAAAGTTAGCATCGTACTCCTGTATCGTCATGTTGTTTTGCTACAACTCTTGAAATTCGATAGCCCACTGATCCCTAACCCTCCGGGATATATTTCTTATTCATAAGCTCCACAAATTTGTCCCAATCAACCTGTCTCTGGCGGCCCTTTCCAATCTTAAGGTTGCCCTCCACCAATGTTCAGCTTTCCCTTTGAACATGAAGGCGGTAAATGACACGTTTTGCTCCTCAGTATAATTTCAGACCGTAAATATCTTCTCCATTTGTTAAATTTAATCCTTTGTCACTAAGGGGTTAATGGTACCCAAAAAAGTTAGAGGTGTGAGCTTCCGAAATTGTTTTAGGGCTAAGATAGTAGGTGCTGGTTGGTTGCCTCTAGGATTGATACGTTGTTCGAGGATTCGCCAATCGTTTCAATGGGTCTTGCATTGGTTCTTCTTGATCAACAGGCCGTTTGCGATCCTTTATGACAAGAACAAAATGCTTATCAAATTCTCCATGCGTTTCCGTTCCTCTGAATCTTGGTCTGATTCGCTATTGTTGCTCACCATTTACTTAATGTAAAATATAGCAAATGATGAAATTCCATAGATTACTCTCCATACTCACACTGAAATATTTCTATTGCTCAGCTATGAATAATTAGGGTATATATACTACATACATATATAGATTAATGTTATTCTTGACATAGAAGGAGATTCTCCTGAAACAATGAATGGCCAGCAATCCTCACCATGTAAATCTTCTCCTATTTATCTCTCTCCCCTTCACATGGTGGGGATTGTGGCCACATCATCGATAAGGAGGAAAATCGCCCTCCTTAGTCATGGATATCATTAATCTTATATATATATATTATATATATAAATATATATATATAATAGAGAGAGAGAGAGAGAGAGGAGAGAGAGAAATAGAGAAACTTGGTACCAAGTTGTTCCAAACTAACTTGTGAGTGATGTGACAAATCTTGTCCCTAATACTATATTAGAGTTGTGAACGGTATTAGACTCATCTTCGAGTGTGATGTAGGGACAAGATTATATCTCACTCAACTATCCGAAGTTGCTTAAGCAACTTGTACATAGAATCTCAATTTTCTCATATATATATATATATAGTATATAATTATATATATATATATATAGAGAAAATGGAGAACCTTGATATATGATATAGTATATTATACTATAATATATATATATAATATTATATATATATACTATGGAAAGGATTCTAAAGGTGACACGCTTAGATCCCACACTAAGGACCGACTCATAAATACATTCATGTCTCTAATTGTTTTGATCCACTCGCGTTAACGTTGATCTACACGTTCTTAAACCTAAACACACCAATTTTGGGGTGAGCCCGTCGTGTTTTGACCCTTCATCCACTCGCCGTAATTTTAACGGTTTCGAATAAATAGAACTTTTTACACAGCTCAACAAAGGGTCAAAACACGACGGGTTCACCCCAAAATTGGTGTGTTTGGGTTTAAGAACGTGTAGATCAAGGTCAACAGAGCGGATCGGAGGAAAAAAAAGGAATGATGTGATTTTAGGCCGCGTCCTTAGGTGGGAATCTAAGGTGTCACCTTAGAATCACTTTTCCCATATATATATATATATATATATAGAGAGAGAGAGAGAGAGAGAATAATGGAGGTGAGCTGGCAGATCATCTTCTTCCCACATGAGCTGCAAGTGTATGACATGTGAGCCCCACACTGATGTGACTAGTAGGGGGCTCGCATGTCGTACACTTGTGGGCTCAGTGGGGGAAGTGAGCTGCTAGCTCACCTTCATTATTCTCATTATAAAAGAGTAATACTCATGTCAAAAACTTTTAATTCCTATTTTGCCTTTATAAATTTTGATAATTCACATATACCTATAGTTATAGTTAATCCTTAAATAATATCCATAACTTTTTATTAAATGCACTCCACGTACTCCCTAAGAAATTTGGTCAGAATAATCATTATCATAGTTTATAATTAATACTACATACAAATTGTTATGTCTAAATTAAATTTTAGAATGTAAATGTTCATTTTTTTATCTACTTAGTTGCATAAAATAAAGAAACTTGGTATCAAATTGCTCTAAGCAACTTGGTAGTGAGTGACATAATTCTTGTCCTACATCTACATTAGGTTGATGAAGGGTGGTTGAGGTGGTTGAGGCTCTACTTTTCTCCGAGAGTGTGATGAGGTGTAAAAGATTATGTCACATCACTACCGAAGTTGTTCTTAAGCAAACTTGGTACTACAGGTTCTCCATTTTCTTCATACTATATATATATATATATATATATATATATATACTACTTATAAAAAAGAATACCCATGTCAAAACTTTTAATTTCCTATTTTGCCCATTTAAATTTTGATAATTCGTAATTATACCAATAGTTATAGTTAATCCTTAAATAATTATCCATAACTTTTTATTAAATGCACCTCCTACTCTCCCTAAGAATATTTGGTCAAAGAATAAAATCATTATCAATAGTTTATAATCTAATACTACATACAAATTGTTATGTCTATATTTAGAATTTTAGAATTTTAATGTTCATTGTTATGTCTATATTTAGACTTGCGATTTCTCTATCTAAGAAGTTGAAACGACTGTATTGGAAGGACATCAAAGTTTAAACCATAGGAGGACCAGAGTTTTGTAGAAACCACCTAATGTAAAATTAGAGAATGGTGTGCTTCATTTTTTATTGCTTTGGGTATTTTGAGCACCGACTGCTAATGAGTCCAAAATTTCGCTCAAGACTATGAATTTCTTCCCAATCAGCCACAAAATAGTATAAGACAAAGTTAATCAAATAATTATAATAACAAGATGTAGAGTCTAGACTTTTAAATTTTAATTTAAATCAATGCATAAACTATGAACCAAATTAACTAACAAACAATCCTTTTTATTTTTATATATAACTTCTCTTTCATCTCTTGAGTGTAAATTAGCTCATATATTTTCTTCCACTCACCATAATACCTACTAAGTCAAAACCATACAATTACAAAAGAAAAGCTCAACTAGAACTCCACTTAGATTAGAATAGAAAATTTAACAGAGCACAAGATGTCGACTTCTTTCGAGGATCAAATTTGCTCAAGCACGGGTTACCATGGTATGTTCCTCTATAATTCAATTAGAATTTTAAAATATGTTTTGAAAGTTGATTATTGTAGAAATGAGTTAATTTGGTACAATTTAAATTGGTATAATCAATTTGGTGATTAGTTTTTTTTTTGGAGACATTGGGATCACTCAAATTTTAAAATGTATTATAAAAAGACTAAAATGAACAAATGTATCATAAAATCTAATTAGATTAAATATTTTTAAAATTCAACCCCCTAAACGTATTTCACGGTATAATATGAAAACACATTGTATCAAAAAAAATCTATAATGTTAATATCATGAAGTAGGGGCACGATTAGGAATGCATTAGGCTAATTGTACTATCCTTTTGATGTTACACAGTGAAAAGTAAAAAAATAAACTTTCTTACCATGATTTCAAACAAAAAATATTAAATAAATACTACAACCAACATATTTACATGCATCTAAAATAAATGTTATATTTTTATTATTAAAAAAACCTAATTACTAAAGTGATATCTTCTTAAGCTTTGGCTTTTTTACCTTCTAATTAATTACTCATTTCATATGTTACAATTTTTTTTATTTATTTCTCCTTTCCTCTCCTTCCAACCATCCGACTTTTATTTCTGAGAAACAAAGTGCTTAGGATGACATTAAAGATGAAATAGATTTCTATGGAAATGCTATCGTAATGATTCAGTGCCAACTTGTGAACTATAGAGATTGATAAAATACAGATGAATGACATAATCAGTCTCTCTTGTAATTGTCACAAAACGTC